ACGCATTACTGCAAGCATTGGTGCAAGGCCCAGCACAAGCATTGGTGCAAGACTCAGTGCATGCATTGGTGCAAGCATTGCTGGATGCAGCTGGGGCAAGCGTTACCGCGCACATTGGTGCAAGCATTGGTGCAAGGCCCAGCACAAGCATTGGTGCAAGCGTGGCTGTATGCACTGCTACAAGGCTCGGCGCAAGCCGCCCTGCAGCCATCCATGGCCGCGCTGGGCACAGACCGACGCCGCCACCTCCAGGCCGGCCGAGGCTCAGCCGTGACAGGGGGAGCCCCGTGGCCACATGTAAAGTGGCCGAGGTGGCCCAGAGCCACGCAAGACGGAGGATTTTGGGGGGGTCCATACTGACTGCTGCCCCCTTGCCCCTCCAGACGAAGGCCTGTGGTGCCAGACGAGGCGGGCGCTGCGGGAGGATGAGACCGTGCGTGCCATCGTGGTGGCGGAGCCGCCGGCCGAGCACCAGGCCACGGTGAAAGCGGAGCCCGGCGAGATGCCGTACCCGGCCGCACTGCGCTCCGACATCCAGCTGCTGCCCCAGCAAGCCGGCATGGCCGCCATCCTGGCCACTGCCGTGGTCAACAGTGAGTCCCCGGGGATGGGGTGGGTGACACGGCGGGGGTCCCCATCCCATCATGCAGGTGATAATTGTCCCTTTGTCCCTTCACCTCCGCAGAGGACGTCTTCCCGTGCAAGGACTGCGGGATTTGGTACCGGAGCGAGCGCAACCTGCAAGCCCACCTGATGTACTACTGCGCCAGCCGGCAGAGCGCCGGCTCGCCCGCCCTGGAGGAGAAGCCCAAGGAGCCCTACCCCAACGAGCGCATCTGCCCCTTCCCACAGTGCAAGAAGAGCTGTCCCAGTGCCAGCTCCCTCGAGATCCACATGCGGAGCCATAGCGGTACTTTGGTGCAGCCAGGGGACACCAAGCCACTTGCAAGGACCCCCAGAGCTGGTGTGGAGGGTTTTGGGGCTGCAGCACGGTGACCAGTTAGATGAGGTTCCCACCCAGTTGGGTTACTGGTTTGGAGTTGCTTGCTTTTATGTCTTCCTTTCTCAGCCTTGTAAAGATGAAGGAAGTATCCTGGTGCCTTCCTGGCTGGCACAGCCCCATGGGATGTCCCTGCAGTCCCCGTTCCCCTTTCCCTTGTCACTGAGGTGTCTGTCTGTCCTGCAGGAGAGCGGCCGTTCGTCTGCCTGATCTGCCTGTCCGCCTTCACCACGAAAGCCAACTGCGAGCGTCACCTGAAGGTGCACACGGACACCCTGAACGGTGAGCGATCACCACCCAGTCTCCCCACAGGGACACCCCTGTCCCCTCCAGCACTCCCACTCCCCATGGGTCCTTCCCTTACCCTCCTGGATGCCATCCTGTTCCTTGCAGGTGTCTGCCACAGCTGCGGCTTCATCTCCATGACAAGGGACATCCTCTACAGTCACCTTGTCACCCACCACACGTTTTTGGCTCGCCCCCCGCTGCGGCTTCATCTCCACGACAAGGGACATCCTCTACAGCCACCTTGTCACCAACCACATGATCTGCCAGCCGGGCTCCAAAGGAGAGGTTTACTCGCCCGGGTCAGCCCTCCCGGCCACCAAACCCCTCGCCCCCGGTGGGTACC